AAAACAGAACACATTTTATGACAATTTGGCACTTTATCAGGTAGGTTATGAATGAGAACTTGATCGTTTTGGCAAAGATTGACAACGTTGCTCCACATTTTGATCAAAAGCAGCTGAGTTCAATTGCTAATTGGTTTACCCGAACAATCCTTTGGCTTGTCTCTTTCAATTTTTTCACCCGCTACTTGTGCTTCATGACTCAATATCCTCAGTTTCTGGCCTTCATTACTTTGTCAGCCCTTTATGGGGCTGTAAGGCTCCAGGAAGGATTGAATGGCTCCTGGAGCAATGAAATTCTCCTGTTCCAGGTCTCTCACTTGGCTGGTGCACAGCAACGGAAATACAGGAACCATCTTGACAAATGTGTCTTTCAAAGCTCATCCCACAGAAGTTCCAGATGGATTGTGCCCGGGGGTGAGGAGAAATGTCTCTAGCCGAAAGACGTGATTGAAGTAGCTACAGTACGCTGTCTTAAGCTTCACCCATGATGAGGTTTTCCTGTTTCCATCAACCCCTGTTTGAGGTTTTTCTTTCTGTCTGTTTTACACAACTGTATTTGCCAGCAACAAGCTCCTCTCTCCTGTAACATGGTATATTTGGTAAAGGGTTAATAATGACTGACAAGATCTTTCCCTTCTCGAATTCTGCCAAACGTCTGGTGTCGCTCTTTGGCTTGTGCAGTTTGTTGCTGTGTGTTCACACACACACAGCACCCCTTGATCAGATAAGGGAAGGAGAGCTTCCCTTTGAATTTCCCTGCGTTTTCTTTGTTATTTTTCTTTGTTTTCATGACCTAAAATTGACACATTTGTCTGGATATTGAAAAAAGGTGATCAGTAGGTTTTGGATGACTAAGAATATGCCTGAACATTTTATTTCACCTTGCTGCACAAATTAAACTTGGGTTTAATAACCCTGTCACTCAGGTAATTGCAGTGCAGAGACCCTGATCACACACAGTTTGCTGTTCCCCCTGATGTCTGAATGGCCCATTAGAGCCTCATTAGAGCCCTGTGATTAGCAGATAGCTGCTTCAAGTTCTCTTACCAGGAGTCTAGACACGAGTTTGCTTTTCATGGCCCTAACATGATACATTTGCAGGCTTTTATCATTTTAGTCATTTACTACTGTGTTTATATGGGCTGTCTTGTATAAATGTGGGGCTTACAATTTAAGGCAGTATAAATTTCTTGGTCTAATGGCCACATAAAACAACATTAATGTGACTGATGTCAAAGGTAGAAAAGATAAGGAATGTGGAAAGGGTCTAGCATTAAAGGCACATTCCTAACTAGTTATCTCCAGAGTGTCATACACATCTGTGCTCCAGGAGTTGCGTCAGGTGGACCTGCAGACTTGAGAACTCAAACCATCAGTTCTGAACACTCAGTTCTGCACGGCAACCCAATTTTGTCGACTCCAGCGCATTTCTCTAAAGAACTCAACGCAATGACTTGTCCCATGCATCCAGTCATCTGAACAGTGAAGTGGTTCATCTACTGACATGACACGTACTAACTGGCATGATACCCCTTCTATAGTTTTGTGATAAAGATTTATAATAAAGACTTCTATCATAAAAGAAGGATGCTGCACTAACTCTATTATAAATGTACTTTCAACAACAAGTTACTCAGTAATATTTTTTGATAAGCAAAAGAAGTACAGTGAATATTAATGTTCATGTAACAGTGTCAGTACTTGTTTTTGGATAATATATCCTCTCAGTATAGTTACATACAGTTAGATATACTGTATGTATATATACTGTATATAGTAAGTACTATATGTAAAGCATGTCTTAACTGTGTCTTTATATTGTTTTAAATATAGGCATCAGGCAAAGAGCCTTTATCTCCTGTAACCTCTTGCTGTACAACTTCTCTGCCTCTGCTGTAGGTCAGATTCTGTGCTTTATGTCACAGCGTTAAAAAATAAGCCATGAAAATCCCATTGCGTGTTACTTCATCTTTGAGCAATCTGTGAACAAGCTTTGCCCCTTCCATCTCTCGCTAGGCAGCTTTGACGGCACCGTGCCGAGAGAGGAAAGCCAAATAACTGTCAAGTCACAACATCGCCGCTCACAAAGCCTGCAGCCCGTCCCCGCAATTAAGATCGGCGAAGTATCTCCATGTTTGTTTGTTTATGTTGCGCTTCGTGAGGATCTCAGGCAGGCGATGCGTGTCAACAAGGCAGAACAAAGGCACTGCTGCCCTATTCGCTTTTTACGTCTTCGGCAAAAGCAGAGAGCAGCAGCACACATCTTTTAGCTGCACCGCGCTTGCAATTTACATGACCGCAGCAGCCGTCAATTGGAATTGGAAAAACAAAATCCTTCTGTGAAGGTGAAGGCTAATTATTGTGCCTGATTTAATATTCTAGTCCTCCCACTTACCCCCACTACTGCTTCTTAATACTAGGCGCTATAGCCCTTACTATACTATATAGGGGATACTATATCCCTTCCACCCACCCCTATAAAACTGAGTCTGGAAGGATGACATTTCGAGTTAGTTATGGCTCATGTGGTGCAAGCAAATGCTACAATCTGCAACACTCTCCGTGACTAGCACATCCCTGTAAGGATTAGGGGTAATAAACTTTTGTGAGCATTTCTACACCGCTGACACTCTCTGTAAAAAGGAATATGCTTTAATATCTGTAATGCTTCTTGCTTTACAATTGCCGTTTCAGTATGCCAGGCCATGTTAAGTACAGTATGTCCAGTGATTTAGAATTCTGTTAGGAAGTCATAAGAACACAAGGCAGTGTTGTTTTTATTGTTTATATCGGTGCAAATCTTGTACACCTGACAGGTACGCAAACTTTCTATCCTTCATTGTCTGTGGAAAGATTTCATTCTGCTTGTTCAAGATTTTCTAATGTACAGAAGCTCCCACAATTGTGTTTTTAACAATAGAGTATACACTGAACCTTTTCCAACTGAGGTTCATTGTCAAAGTTCAGGTGTTTTTACTGTGACCACAGCATGCACTGACAACATGCAGACGCTGACAGTTTCTTTGACAGGCTGTTCATCACTGTCCCTTACTCTCCAAATAGTGTCCGTGGCTCACCATGACCCACAGGACATTTCTTAAGGAATGCTTGGAGTTAGTTCATCGGTACTGCAACTTCCAGTCTTAATCTTACATTTAACCCCTCCAGGATGAATGGTAACACTTGAACTTTAATACAATTACAGCTGTTGCCCAGTAAGAGAACCAACTCTGAAACAACTATTCAACTTTGACCTTCTGCTTAAACTGTGTGTCGATCTGCTGCCCGACATGTTATTAGATGAAGTCAGGGTTGCCAAAAACTATGATAAGTGACTTTTAATGGTTAAATGAGTGTCTTCGACTGGGGTTGGACAGTTTTGGTCCAAGGCACCATGATATCATCTGGTTTTCTTTCTAGCTGGGCTCTTAAGTGCTTAACCAAAACGTTTCTTCACCGAATACTTTGCAAATTAGATGTCATTTTTCTGAGTTCTGAGACTGTGGGTAATTTTGTGCATAATGATTAGGAATATGAAATCAGCTTCTCTGTTAGGAGCTGACAACACTTTAAATTGAACATTTATTTTGAGAATGAAAGCCAGCAGAAGCCGGGTTGGCAAGCCCAGTTTTAGAAGCTAAAGTTGAGTTCTGAAATGTATTCAGAAGACTTTTTAATGTCCAGTAGTTCTGTGTGAATATATTGTAAGGGAGCAGGGGGAGTTTAAATAACTGCTGATAAGTAGAAACAAAAGAAAAATAAACAACATTTAGACTATGGAGTCTTAATGAGGTGAATATATTGTGAATCTAATTGGAATGATTTTTTGTGGTTTTTAAATATTTCGCTCAACCACCAAAGGAAAAGATTACATATTTATTTGACTAACTTTGAATAAATATAACACAGCTACAGTATATGTGTTGTGTGAAGGACTTGCAAAGGAATTTTAAAAATACTTCTTCTTTTGTGTTTTTTTCTGTCTCTGAAGTCGAGTCATTTTGGTGGTCTTGGCAGTCATTCTGAGGTCAGCGATTGGAAAGAAAACTGAATTAAAACCTCTATCAGGACTCTCTCTCTCCTGCTATGGTGCTCACAGTTAGTGTACAAAAGCATTTTAACTTTGGGAATAAGCCAATGAGCTTTAACAGAAAGACATTAAACTCAGTGTCTAGAACTGGAACAAAAACTGTTTTTTTTTATTTATTTGTCCAGGGCACAGACAAACACAGAATACTGTGCAAAACTGGAAAGTCTCCCCAGTTACTTTTCTTGCTCTTGTTGTTCCAAAGGGTAATGGGGCAATCTTTATAAAAAACAGCAAATACTGGATAAGGAGGGTGAGGTGTTAAGCACTAACATCACTGTTCAACAAGGCCCATTGAAAGGCCATGCAAGGAGTTGCTATGGAGCTATGGTTCAGCCACACAGGGAGTCAGATGCCACATAGCTGGAGAATCTGACTCAAGAGCATCAAAGGTCTCTGTGAAGGGAGGGATTTACACTTATTTCAAAGATGCTCATTTGAATATGCGACAGTGAACTAGCCACATGAAAGTTTGTTTTACATAAAGCTTACAATGTCTTGCTCGTCGTAGTATCTTCATACAAATAATAAAATATCGAATGGTAGTCTATATGATGCGCTGTGCTTTCGGTAATTTTGGTAAAATTGAGGGAGTTTTTCAAGAAAAGTGCCAAATATATTATTCTCTTATTCTTTGTTGGATTATTTTAAAATAGATTTTAATGTTGTCGAATTACATATGTAGGCATTCAGTCAACAGATACAGGTACACAAAATTAAATTGTATTATTCCTACACTTTTCAAAGATCATCACCATTTGTTTTGAAATGTTGTAGTTTAATGTAACGATTGCAAGGATAAACTCAATAGACAACAACTGGAAACTTAAGAGACTTTATTTCCTTAGGCCCCTCCCATCTCGTACATGACGGAGGGGGGGGGGGGCTGGGTTTGTAGACTGTTTCCATAGCGCTGGAAGCTCGACGGTACCAATAGGCAAAAACGGGGGGGGGGGCTTCCAAAACTATTGAACTGCTTCAGCCTACAAAATAACTGTGGACCCTCTTCTAGGGCTAGCAGGTATAACTTCAGAAATCAAAACTTAATCCAGTACCCGGACTCAGTGAACGGCTTCTGTCACGCGAGCATGCGTGGCCCGACATCGTGGCGTTGTTCCTACCCCAGGGCGCAGTGGAGCAGTCTGTATTTGAATAATACCGTGTCCAGCGCGGCGAAGGGAGCGGGGCGGGGCTGGTTGTCCCTTCCCTCCGGCACCTGCGAGAGGAGCAGCGGCTCGGCCGTGATTTATTTCAGCGCCTAGCGGAGCCTCCGCTCAGCGCGATGAGAAGTGCTGCTACTGACACTTGAAGCACCCGAGTTGCGTCAACTTCTCAGATCTTTTTGAAGATACGCGTCTGGGTAAGGCTTTGGAAAATCCCGTGCAAAAAGAGACCTGAAAAGGGGACTTCAAGTTAAAAAGCTGCCTCATTTGTGTTCACTGTTCCAGCTGTGACGAAAGTTTATTTTTGTAATGATAACACTACGTCAGTAATAATAAGAGTTGTGCAAGTTACAGGTAGCTGTCCGACTCTGAGCAATATGTAAGCCAGTGTTTTGTTATTGTCTGAACATTTCTAGTGTGTGAATCTCTTAATCCACCAATTCTTGTTTTTAAGACCAATTAAAGCAACAACTATGTGTACTAGAAAAGGTATCGTCATGTAAGTTTTCGGACATATTCAAACTGCAATGTATTTGGATCTGAAAACTCTACTACCAGAACAAAAGCGATTCCTGTGCTGTAATTCTCCGGTGAACCCACAGCAACATAACCTGTAGGATTCTTTAGAAATTGTAATACAAATGCAAATATTTTTTCTGTAGAAAAATCGTGACATTTCTGAGATACCTTCGGTTTATTCTCATAAGGGCTGCATTCAATATTTACCGATGAAACGGTACAAGGAAATAAATAGAGTGGTTAGGAACGGTAAATGTTTTCCCTATTGTAATTTAACTGGTATGGTAATTAATAAAGCGAGCAAACGTGACATAGTTGTACTTTGATTTCAGCTGATGACGTATACTTTAACGTCCGTAGTAATTTCTATGTCAAAATATATGGCTATGCACACACAGGTATGGGAAAGTTGTTACTCTGCCTTGGAAAAAGTTGCTTCAAATCCACTTGCACAAGTTAAATTCCAATTTGCTCGCATATAGGCCTCAGCAACTTAGATCAACACAGCACTCTACCAAAATAACCCGAAGGCTGCTCCTACTGGGACTCCAGACAGCATCACAACCTTTTCCCAGATGTTTTTCTTTTCATTTACAGCAGACTTGTGGCACATCTCCTAAATAGCAAGCCAGTTCGTTTTTTGAAGCAAGTTAACAAAGGTAAATATGGAGTATGACTTCTCTAAAGCTGTCTTCCAGAGTCTGACAGTAAAATACGTTATCATGGAAGAGTCTGGCTTGGATAATTCTGTCACATGCAGAGTAGGGCTGGTGGCCTAACCGATATTATCCAATGAAATGAGACATATTCTTTTCTAAAAAAAAAAAAGCATTCGTGTTTTAGTTCAAGGTGGGAGCTGCGTCAGCGTGTGTTGGCTGCAAGGGAACAAGTAAAGGTTTGTTCTAGGCTGAAAAGAGAAGACAAGAAACACGACGTTTCAGCTGTGGAGCCTTCTTCAGGTGTGAATTCATGTTTTATACCTCCCTGTGAGAGCAGCAGGTGGGACTGGCACAGATTTTTGCTATGCATGTGTGTGTGTGTGTGATTGTGGGTGGCATGGTGGCGCAGTGGTCTGTGTGGAGTGTGTATGTTGTCCCTGCTTTCCCAGTGGGTTTCCTCCAGGTGCTTCCAGATATACTGGAAGGTTATTTGGCTTCTGAAAAAATGGCCCTGGTGTGAGTGCGGACGCGTCTGTGTCTGTGTTTGCCCGGCGACGGACTGGCACCCCTTCCAGGGTGTACCCCACCTTGTGCCCATTGCTTGCCAGCTCCCCTCTGACCCCAGATTGGAAGAAGTGGTTCGGAAATGGACGTATAGATGTGTGTGGGAGTTTCAGCCAGTTAATAATGTTGCAGTCTGAGTTCTAGAGGGTCGACACAAGCTTTTTAGGCACTAAGTGACTCAACTGGTAAAGACTGGTGCCCAAGCGCCAGTTGAAGTCTGGGTCATGTCACTGGCTGGCTGTGGCCGGGAAATAACTGACCAGAGCAACTCTTAAATGGCTGAGGCTCTCTTCTTCAGCTCGGCTGCTCCTCTAGCCTCTCAGGCTCTTGCAGATTTAGTGCTGTCAGCGAGGGAGACAGCTCTTCTCCAATTGGTGCAGAACCTCCGGCATGGAGGCGTAGATTTTCAACTAGTGAGCCAAATGTTAGGGACGACTCTGCCCTCCTGTGTAAATGTTTCCCCGTTTTTCCCAGACTAGTGTCAACACTTAAATACAGTTGTGATCATCTTTGCCAAAGACTTCTTTTAAGTTCAGGAGCTGAATAACAAAGGTAACAAATGAGCGGCAGAACTGTTTGTATTTTTTAAATGTGGAATATTAAACTTTGACGTGCAGACGGGCGGAGGAGGAGTCGGACAAAAGTGCAGATTACACTTTTGTTGGTGTTCCAGTTCATACGCACCTGTGGGGCGCTAACTCAGGCAGCCAGTGGACAGGGAATGGCACGTACCGATGAAGCATAGGCAATTGTCCATCAGATTCATATTGCTGCTAATGAAGCTACAGTACTTCAAAAAGTCTGACCTCGAAAGCCCACACATGTGCCAAACCCACTATGCTAAAAGGCCAGCCCCCTGCCATGGAAAGTGTCATGGGGAATTATGTCACTGTATCTTTATGATTGTGCATTGTTAGTCCTGGGCTCCTCTAAATTAATTCACAGAATTAAGCATGGGCGGCCATCCCTTCTAACGAAGTTACCTGCCATTGTAATGTTAATGGTTTATGAGATACTGTATATTAATACATTTTTGGCAATTACTTGCCAATCAATTCTTAGTGATGTCTTTCCTTATTTTAGCAAGTGGTAGTCAAGCTTTTCAGGGAATTAACTAAATAACTTACAAAGTCTGTAAACTAAACTGTTGCACTTTGTATTTGAACTTTTAACTTGTGTTCTGCTTCTTAAAGGAAACGTGTTGTTTGCAGTGAATTCCAATTAAAACTTGCACACAGTACCATCCGGTCCATGCTTGGGGTGCTCTGACTTGGTGTGGGATGACCCCAGAAAAAGATAGACATTATAGACTAAGTTTAAAGATCCAGCAATTAAATTAAATTGAATTTAAAGAAAAATGCAGTTGATTTCTAAGCTTGAAGTTAAAGTAATTTAGATTGGTTGTAAAGTTCTCTAATTTTGTCATCTTCAGTATTTGTGTTGTAGTGTTTAATCTCATGGCCTCTCACCCCTCTCCAGTGTTACTACTTCTACACACTCTTCTTAACTTGCCATGTATATTAAAACACCATTTTTTTTAGTTTCTTTACGAAATAGGTTGCACTGCTGTCAAACCACAATGCTTTGACCTTGCCTGCTGTCATATTCCTGGCTGGGTGGTGATGAATTGCTTTTTCAAACTTTCTTGAAGTGTCGAAAAAAGTTGCAGCTTGTTGTGCCCAGTAAACTCCCATAATCAGAAGGGAAAACAATCATTTTCAGTCTCCGTTTAGTCCTGCTTATTGGTTGTCAACACAATTGGACATGAGTAAAAAAAAAAATCACTTTTTTATTGCATTGGTTCAATAAGAACTGCTCTGTAATGACTTGTGGTACTATAGAGAGTCACTTTCTCCCCAGAGACTTCTGAGATATATGGATAGATACATTTTGTCTAGAAAATGAAATTACAGTCGTCTGCCTTTATAAATTGATTTTACTAAGGAAAAATAATTATGTTTTTTGACAACATTTTTTATCGCTTTAGCTTATGAAGCTTTGCCTTCTTTGCTTTTACATAAACTTTGATTTACAGTTTAGTAGCTAAATAAATCTAAAATTTCATCCAGTCCAGATGCTCTTAACTACCTGGCTGGGAGAGTATTCCCAATACTCACAACTCTTTGAGTACAGAAATGGTTCCTAAATTGTGTTTCATTATTATTTAAGGATTTCCAAATGATTTCCCAGCAGTGCTGAGTGAAGAAGAAATTTTCTGTCATGGTCAAATTATGGATGGCTGGAAAATGTGATTTTAAGAGGCTTTACTGGTTGAAATTTGGACTTTCTAATATAAGCCAAGTCTGAGATTGACATTCTCCATCCGGAAGTACCATCACCCTTGTGTGTCTGTGTGTTTTAGTGTAAAGCCATGGAAAAAACCATCTTAGACTGAGACAGTTGTTTTCGCTACCTCAACCTCTTTCAAGTTCAGCTATTCATTATTTACAATGGCCAATCACACAATCTTCACTCATGCTTAAATAATGGAGAAGCTGCAAATGATTGTTTTATGAACAACACATTAGAGTTCTACTTTCACTGGAACTGAAGTGCCATACTAAATCATACTTAAAACCCATTTTAATCTAACTTTTCCTGAGATTTATTAAAGGTGAGAGCAAAGTCAAGCAAAATTACCCGTGTTCTGTTGTTAAACAGTGCTGTAAATTAAAGGTGTGAATTATAGGGAAACTTTAATTACAGTGCAGTGCCTTGCAAAAGTGATGTCCCGGATTACACTACAGTATACAATATTATAATATTTAAATTATCTTTACTCAAAACTTGATTGCTCAGCTTGATTGAATAGAATAGAGTGAAGGAAGTTAAATGTCAGCCAAGACGGTCAAGTCCAAAATGAAAATATGCTCATTCAATAATTATTAATTCCCTTGAGTCAATACTTGCCGGAAGTCTCTTTGCCATTAGGATGGTGCAGTTTTCACCTGTTCTTCTCCGCAGACGTGCCGAAGCTTCGTCAGGCTGGCTGGGGACTGCTGATGGATAGCAATCATTTTCAAGCCTTGACACAGATTTTCTGTCATTATTCAAGTTAGTAAATGGGCCGCTGAAGGACTTTCGCTTTCTTCTTCTTGCGCCAGTGTAGCTTGGGGTCGCAGTCCTGCTGAGTGGCGAATTCCTGTCCCAGTCTGAGATCTTTAGCAGACTGAAGCAGGTTTTCCTCTCCCATCCATTTTCAGTCTTGACAAGCTTGGCTGTGGGGATGTGGTTGACTGGGTAATAGACTGGATTGGGTTTCTGCCACGTGTAAGGCTTCTAATTTTGTCTCGTCGTTTCGCAAAATTGTTTGCCACAGTTTGGCGTTATTGCTTAGGTGGTTAGACTCGCATTTTGCCATTCTGCCAGAAAGGCCACCTCTGGGGAGTGAGTGTGATATTGCTGTATATTTTGTCCTTTGACAGCCACTGAACTCTGTAGCTTCTCGGAAGTCACCGGGGGCCTCGCAGTGGCGTCCCCTAAACAGTGTTCTTGCTCTGCTGTTCAGCATGGCCTCGCCAGTGTCTGAGTGGTCTGTCACACTTCACAATGATTGATTTCACTGTGCACAATGAGATTTTTTTTTTCACACCTTTCTCCTGATCTCTGCCTTTCTACAGCTTTATCCCTGACGTGTTTTGAAAGCTCCTTGGTCTTCGTGGTTAAATCTTTGCTTGACATTCACTACCTGACCGAGGGGACCTTACGGAAATGGATGTATTTGTTCCGGGAAACACTATTACTGGACACAGACACAGACAATAGTTTTGTGCACCTGAATTCTATTAGGTGTCCTATAACAAAGGAGATGGATATGTATGCAATCGACATACTTAAGTTTTATGATTTTTCTTTGCAGGTTGTGCTGAAACATAACTAATTTTACCCATACGCTGTTTAACTTCCAGCCTTCAATTTTTGGTTAGAAATAGTCATTAAAATGCATATTCATCATGTGTACTTAAACAAAATGGAACGTCATTGGAAAGAGGTAAACACAATTGCAAGGCAATGTACTAAACCCATGTGTGCATTAGGTGGCCTGCAGCATACGTTCAGTGCTAATCGTTAAGAATTTTTGTTTTCTAGTTTAAGCCATCTAGATTCTAAGAAGTATCCTCTTTGCTAGTTTCTTCATGTTTTAGGATATTATTAGGCTTTCATTGAGTAAGTACCTTTTAAAGCAATGTGGAGAGTCTGACTTATGAGCTCTGAGGGCTGGCTGGAAGAAGCTGGGATCACAACAGGCCAGATCAGCTTTTCCTAATCTCTCGGACAGTTGCTGGCAAGTCTGCAGACTTTATTCATACTTGCCAACATTGGGAGCATTGCTAACCCTTCTATTCAAACCTTGGGTGTCCCAGATACCAGCAGGTGTCTCCTTCACCTTTGGAAAGAAATAGTAAGAAAGGCAATATGACTTGTAATGCCTGCATTCATTCACCTTCTTCGTCGATCTTGTCATTTCAGTTGAAAACGGCTGTGACCGAGATCGGAGAGCAACATGGAGCCCCGGTCTCAGAGTCCTGAGATCGGAGCGGAGATCTCCAGCTTCGGAGACCTGTCCATTTCTCACAAGGTGGATCCTTCCAAGAAGAGCCCCGCGGTTTCAGCTGAAAGCGGTGGCTACCCGGACTACGTCTACGTCCACGCCGCGGCCATCTTCTTCACCATCCACGTGGAGAAACCCGTTGACCGAAGGCTGGTGAGGTACGGCGACCAGATCAGCTTCTCGGTGCCTGAAGCGAAGAATGAAATCGCTCAGCATTATGCTCATGAGCTGGCCTTCAACGCGCTGAAATGTAAGTGACTGGAGTTTACTGGACTTGCAACACTCGGTTCCACAAGAGCTTTTCTTATTAAAACCCTTTATAATTGCACAGTACATAGGCAGGGCTGTGACCCAGGCTATTTTCTTCCTTTCTGTTGGACAAGTGAGTGAATTGCTCATTGCAGTGATGTGCACACATGATTTCCAGGCAGAGAGCTCAGGAGGAGTTAATATAGTCTGTCATGGTTTTCATGTACTTCAGGCTGTGATTTCTGTGTTGCTGAAAGCTCTTCTTGCTGTGAAAGCCCCCTATTAATGTGTAAGATCTTCTTGTCGACCTCTTCTTATTATAGACTTACTGAAACACAAGTTAATTTAAACATGTTCCCTACAAAACACAAGTACACTTGACTAACTTGTGAACTTTGTACAGTCTTAATGAAATCAAACTCCATCATGTCTTTGGAGCCTAGATATACTAGATAATTTAACAAAGGCCAAGCAAACATTGCATATAAAACAGAACTGTCACACTATTTCAGAATTTAATTTTATAAATTTATTTTTCTGACACTTTTGTCCAAGGCAACTTGCATTTGCACCTATATACAGTATGCAGGTGGGTGTTTTACTATTTTACAATTCGGGCAAAGTAAGACTCCAACAGTAGTGTCTCCTATGAGATTTGAGCCTACAACCTTCTAATTACAAGTCCAGAACCCTCTCCACTGCTCCACACTGCTGCCCTTGAACCTTTTCTTCCAGTCTGGGATGACAAGCATAATAGTATCTGGCTAAATTGTGTTTCTGCTCGTGGTGGTAGTATCAGTAAGTTCTGTATGGAAGTTGTACAGTACTGTGAGAGGCAAAGGTTCAGAAGGGGGTGGAGTAGGAGAAAGCTGGCGTGAAAGGAGATGGTGACGTGCATGTTTTTTTCTCTTTGAGAGCATGAAGGCACTTCAGTAATAAACCAAAAACGACGCTACTCTGTTGCCGGATTTCTTGACACTTCTGTGTCACACGAAGGCACATGTGAGTTTGGAAAGTGTACAGAAGGAGACAAATTCATTCCTGCTCCCTCAACGTCTGTGATAAACTATGCACACTGCCGCGCTGTTCCTGTACGTTTACGCATTGCCTTCTCTGAAGGAGTATTATTTGAATGGAGTTAGTAACAGAGGTTCGGGAGGATTACAAGACCCAGTTTTGGCCGATCCCAATCTTCTGCGTGCAAATACAGGTCTTTAGACCACTGTCTCTCGGTGTTCAACACCCCTCTGCCATTCCCTGTGCAGCAGCTCATTGGCTGATGTGGTGTGGGGGGTTCCTTCTGCCTGCAGCCTGGTGCTCAGTCCTCAATAGAGATTCTACCCACCTTTGCATTATTGGGGTTTGCCTCTATCTTCTGAAACAGTTTTGCGTGGTTTTTTGCACAGACTGTTTTGGAATGCTAGACATACTGTACATGAACTCCATTTGAACATCATGTTTGGCCAATGAAAAGGAAGAGTGTTGCAAACGTGCAAAAGAACAACAGTGAACATTGCACAACTCCTGATGTGCAAAGCTGGGAAAGATTTCTTTAGAAGGTGCTACAACTGCAGGATCCTACCTGGCTTTTGAACCCACGACCTTTCACTCTGGAGTCCAGAGCTCTTTTCTACTGCTCCACACTGGTACTGGTTGTCTTCCTTTCTGTTGGACAACAGCTGTTTTGCTGATGTTTATTGAGTATTTAAGAATAATACGTTTTGGCTTCAACCCGTTGGGTTAAGAGCCTCCTGGCCATAGGATGAGGAGGCTCAACCCCCATTCAGAGAGAGGAGTAAACCAAAGGGCAGCTGCAAAGGTGGAGATGGGGTAGAGGCAGGATGAATACCAAAAAAATGAGAAAGAGGAATTTATTTGCCTTCTATAAATGTACATTCAGATTCTTTTTCACGCTGTTCTCTCCAGATGTGCACAGTACAATAGGCAACGCCACACAATGTGCACAGTACGTTACAAAACGGTAAATAATAATGACAGTCACAGCCAACCAAAATGCACAACATAGCACAACAACACACAACCGGTCGTACAGAACAATAAACACAGAGGACAGTAGGTGCGTGATGGTCAAGGTAGAAAGTGCAGAGTGCAGAAATACACGCAGGAGTTATATATAGCAAAAGCTGGTAATGATTAAATGATTATAATTTAAAACAAGTGGGAGAGTTTTGGCTTATCTTATCTTGTCTTATCCCTCTCAAATTCAGTTAGGAACTCAGATTTAGGTTTTGTTTTTTCCTTGCAGTTTTTGCTGACAGTTACTCTCTTTCATCCAGAAAAGCATGCAGTTTGAGCGTTCGAGTTTTGATGGAAAATATTCACTGCATTTGTTTCAAGAAAATGAGCCATTTTCCAAGGCACTGTGTCCGTTCTGCTTTCTCAATACACTTTTGCAATGCACAATCGATAACCACAGCTCTGTCAGCCAAACCCAGCCGCGGGGTTGTTATTTGCTGCAGAATAAACATTATCTCTGTGTCACATTGGAAACCTCAACTGCACCCCCATTACTGAATGGCAGTGAGATTCAGTATTGATTATCTGATGATTCTCATTTGTTCTGCTCTTGATTGGAGTCTTCCTTATGGAAAAAAATATAACTTTAGCACATATTCATCAGACAGCTATGAGAAAGCGACAAACTACAAGGAGTAGTTTTTAATTAAAAAAAAGCAATACCCAGTCCAGGGAGACTCTGGAGGGAACGTGACGTGACAGAAATTAACCTTCAACGTTTGCTCTTTCCCACTCCTCTTTCTCAGGTGCTAGTGCGTCACTAGCTAGTCTTGCTAGTTTGAATAATATTCTCTCAGTTGAAAGTGAATATAAAGGATTCTTGCAGTGCAGTTTACATCTAATTCTTGGCAAAAACAAGAAGAATAATGTTCTTAATAACAAAAACAATAAACTAAGGTGGTCTACATGTACATCTTTTATAGCTGTGCACAAATATACATCTGTACTTCACTAAGGATGACCCAGATAAGGTTATTTTAAGGTTAAATCTTAACACCTGTGTAATGAGTGTACATGAAATTCAAAATGAAGCCCGGAAAAAAACCTTTCCCCCATTCATTTTGTTTTAAATATTGGAGCTCAGATAGGTTTGAGAACTTGCACTATCGTACGTGTTTTACTGCTGTGGTGCTGTATGCTCTATTTCTATGTTGTTCTAAGGGAAAAAACAAAAAAACAGCAAATATTTAAACTTTTATGATCTGAGTGAACACATTTTATTATTATCTGTTAAACGTTAAGTGAGTGGATTACTGTAATCCTTTAAGCAACCAGTAAGATCTCCAGATGTGCTGCAGAAATAGATGATGCTGTGGTTCTATTATGAAAGCTTACCAGGTTAAATTAAATTGATATAGTATTTTTGCAGATTTCCCATTTTTTTACCAAACTGATTCTCTGTTTTTGCCTCTCTTTTTTTTGCCTTGGTTGCCAATGACTTTTTATCTAGCTAAAGAACTAAAGCAAAGTACAACATCAAATTTCTCTGTGCTGTAGAAGCCCCTTATAAAGACCACCAGCATTATGTCTGCTCATCACAGGAACAATACTGAAAACTGTCAATTGATAACTGCGTATGAGATTTTGTTGTGTGACAGATTTTAGCACGAAACATCATTACCTCTGGGGAATATCAGAATAAACAGAAAAAAACGTTCACCTGTCCCAGCATCTTACACTTCACCGCCTTTGTTAGGAGAGAGAAATACATGAAGCAAAGAGACAGGTTGAAGAAAGTGACTTTCTTTAGACTTGAGGAGGGAGTACAGTGAGACTTAACCTCTTCACCCACTGCGAAACGGGCTGTGGGGTGTGTTTGTAATGCCAAATGTCATTTACATGTAATCGTCCTGTGTAGAGGCAGAGACACACGGAGGTAACCTGTGTTTTGAGGCACTCAGCATCTGGCTGAATTGAGCATGATAACGCAGACATTACATTCATAATATGGGCAGGGGCCTGCACCAGTGTAGGTGACTGTCCATTCAGGTCAGTGTTCGTGTAATCTGACCAAGGTGATCTTCGTTTGGCCATGTGTGGATCCTGAGGAAGAAGCTGGACTCTCTGTAGACAGAGATGGCGGGGAGTACCTTGTAGTTTCACTGAAGTCTATGTTAATATACTCACCTGGACGTTTTGGCTCAGCAGGCAGAAGGCGTTGATTCAAGCCTGGCAAAGTCCTCAATGTGTCTTGAGACAACCTGGTTGGCCTGCTGCCCCCTTCCCCTTTGCAACAAGTTTTCATTTCTACTTTGTCGTACTGGTGAAGGCGGCAGGTGGTTTTAACCCAAGTGTTTCTGATCTTGACAGAGTCAAACCAGGGGACTTACTTCAGCCAACAGGTACAGGTAGAAACCAAAAGGCTATTCAGACGAGTGAAAACAGGAGACACCCTGTTACACAAAGGGATGTGGGTGTCTCTACAAACAACCCTACCATGTGGTTGAGATAGATTTTCTAGTATCTCTGGGAACATGGCTTCATAGATCATGAATCGGTACCTACAGTCAAACTCAACCAATCAAGCTACAAGCAAAGATTTCATCTTTCTTGTGTTCCTGATGTTTTGTTTTTCAGTCAGGACACCTAAGCTAGGTCAAATACATATTTATTCTATACCCCTAGGCTTAGATGTCTTGGCTTGAGCGAAAATAAAAGTCTTTGGACAGTTAGCCAATGGCAGACATGACCATACGCCTGTCCCAGTGATGGGTCCCTGACAACTCCCTCTAAAATGGGAATGAGCACCTCCACAATCACAACCATGTGCCTTACGCTGTTCTCAAAATCACATTGATGACCGATGCACTCAGGCACACCTGGGGTGGGTCTAGTTGTGTGGTTGCCATTTCCATGCCTTATAAAGCCGAAACGTATGTCCACTGTGTTTGGAAAAGTGCAGACCTCCTATCTCAGTCAGACACCTGCAGAATTCATAAATAATTATCATGCTTTGATTTCAGAAGGAATCATGTTGGAGCTTAAGAAATAAGTGTACTATAATGCCTTCACGATTAAGGAATTGCTGCAGTCTTATTGAAGCAGTCAGACTCTTATTGAAAAGTGAAATCTCTAAATCTCTTCCTCTGTTCGAGAAGAAATGCCCGTCTCTGAAAAGGGTGTTTTGTGTATTTTATTTCAAATAGGTTTTGCTTGTGGATTATCACACTGTGCCTAAGAGTTGAAATTAGATCTGTTTTAAGTGGAGCTTTCCTGCTAAACTGAAGAGGTGCCGATTCCAAGCCATGCATTTAGAATTTGCCCATTTGAACGTATGCTTGTGTGCTCCGAAGAAAGAAATGAGTTGTTCCTCTTCTGCTCGCCTTCTTGGAAGCAAGGCTTTTGAATAAGGTTATTTTGTGGGCAAAAGTTCCATTTTCCTAGAACGTTCCAAGAAAATTGAGAACCAAACCAATATATATTTTTGAACTGAAGGGTTATAGAGCCAGACGAATCTTTTCCCCATTGATTTAATAATTCACAGAGCCGCTGCTTGTTTGCACTGATCAGATCATTTCAGAATAGCTGAAATCACTTCTGTGTTCTATCTCAGAACTCCATCGGAGATGCATTATGAGATTTTAATAAGCTCTCCACTTATTATAGATGGGCTGTTGGCATGTTGTTGACAGGAGCAGAGTTTTTTTGTTTGAAATCTGAATAAAATTTCCTACTGAACAAGCGACCACAAAGCTATTCTTTCAAGGGAGAACCCCTTAGCGATGACTGAAAGCAAGAAGAAAACTTGGTGAGATTGATTCTTTCAGACGCTACTACTGAGGAATTTAGTGAAGTCATTTATTTTTTCTTATGCTCAAGTTCGTCCTGGGCAGTATGTGATATTGGATTGTTTTTTAAGCTAATGTTATTCTATTATTTTAGCCATAAAAGTGTAAAGATTGCTGTGCTGTGACTTATGTTGTAATTACAAAGGCACAGTTGGAGCAGAGGCATTGATTTGTGTTCTGCGGAAAAGGTTCAGAGAGTCACAGATCTTCACCTTTCATCTGCAGCCCTTTTATTAGATGAGCATGGGGTGAGATTCAAATCCCTCTTTTTGCCATTTTTTATTTCCTTCTCATAATGTGTTATACTGTGCCCACGTTTATAGGATATTCACCTTGCATTATTAACATCCCCATCTTGCTCTATTCCCATCCTACACTTTTACACTCAAATGCACAATGTAAATGAAGTTTTGATCAGCGATGATTATCGAACCTGACAAGCCTTTTGAGAAAGTGGTTCACAACGTACAGTATAGACCTATTTACAACATTTAAAGCAACCTCACAGTCAGTCACACAAGAATACATATTTGACTCTGTGAAGGGTCTTAATAATTGTGCAGAGAACTGAGTTTGTTTTTCTTTTCCTCATTTCTTATACTGTATTTATTTTTAGTATACCTAAACACTGAACGTAAGCTTCAGATATTTTGATTATTCTGACATCAGTGTATTACTTGGCATTTACACTAAAAAAAGGAGCTTGGTGTGTATTTAATGAAGGCAAAAGAATTGCTGAAATTTTGTAGCAATGCTTTCTGCCCTCTGTGTTGCTCAGTAAATCTTTAGTATTTCTTACATGATGACCTTTACCAAGTGACCTACTTTATTTTTAGTGTTGGTTAAGCTTTTATTTCATCGTGAAGTTAATTGATAATTGCAGTTGCTTATTGCTGTGTACTGTAAGGAGTGTTTATTGATGTGGAAGGCATGAATCAGTTGACACTTATCCCTTCTTTAAACTGTTTTCTGTATCCCATGCCCTAGTCAGAGAGGTTTTGACAGCTTTGATGTCTTCTCTGCCTGTGTTTTTTTCTCCCGTGCTTCAAAATAAACAGGAGTTGACGTAGACAGGTACTAATCGATTGAAACAGAACGTTTCTCAAATATAAACATGGAGCAAATAAGGTTATTAGATTTGATCAAACAAGAAACTTGTCTTGAGGCAAATGTTGAACTTTATTATGACAATTTATGTAAATGTTCACATAATACCCAGAGATATCTATTAGCAGCCATTGTTAGCACAATCTGTAAGCATTACAGCTCGCATTGGTCGCTAAGGATGATATTTAGAAAAGCACTTAAATAAATATCAATAAGGGCAATTGTGAACATGAGTAGATACATCAAAGGTAACTATTGCCAGTATTTTTTGTTGATGTTGTTTAATAAGGTTTCCAGGTGTTATTCCATTGATGAAAAGGAAAAAAAACTTAATTAAGAAATTACAAACCATTCAGGTTTCGAATGCAAGGTTATAGAAGACCTTTTTAGAGACAATCAGAACATTACTCAGCTTGAACAAAAATTATCTTCTAGATCTCGTCAGCACTTATTAATACAACATGGACTGTGATGAAATACTAGACTAGATCTTCATCAGTGCATTTTTCTATTAATGTACTTTATTGGGGCTTTCTGAAAGCTTTTGATGATGTGCCACTATGAATTCGGAAATATAAGAATCCAAGGTGGTGTACGCACATGGATTAAGAAATCACCTCCGTCTGGAGTGAAGTCTCCTGAGAGGCACCACAGCGGTCAGTTTTAGGATTACTGCCTTTCCCAGTTTGCATCACTGGTCTAGATTCTGGGTAATATTCTATAAGGCCATAACAGATGGAGTTACAGTAGGGTACTGTATCAGCAGCACAAGCTGTACAGAAAGGCTGCGTGTTTTACTTATGTGAAGAGACACATGGCAAATTAAACTTAATGTCAATGAATGGATGGCATTACAATCAGGCAAAACAGAATGCACAGTTTAAATTTAACATGGGTCGTATTGAACAAAAACTATCGTATGGAAAAAAAATGACGATTTACGTTAACTTGTTGCTTTCGTCATATAGAGAGTGTGATTGTGGGGAAGCAAACGAAAGACTAACATAATTGTTGGCTTTCTAATTAGGAATGTGATATTTATATCGAGGGTAGATCTATGAGAATTTACAAGGTACTGGTTAGATCTCAAATGGAAATTTTTGTTCAGTCCTGGTCACCACCATGCTTTTAGAAATATATTTAAAAGGCACTAATTCCTGGTGTGAAGGAGAGCCAGATTCTGACAGATAAAGGGGGACTGAAATGTTTATGGCTGAAACGTGTTGACTTGATTAAAGTATTCAGGATCCTGAAGGGCATCAGCTACAGCAGGTCATGATCAGCAACAAGGGTGAGGAAATACACAAGAGAAAATTAGGCTGAAGAATATTGGTGACAGAAGACAGGAGACACGTTCTGTACACAGGAGATTGTAGAGGTTTAGACCCATCTCCCTTGCTAGGTTGGCGAAACTCACTGGAAGGGATCCTATGAGAAATGGCCTTGTGGATTTCTGGCTCATTAACCAGCCAATCTAGTGCGATGGACTGCACGCCCCGCGTCTCATTTGTGTCCTTGTTATGTTCTTGTGAATGATTGATCTGAGCGAGGATTTGGGGGATAAATATCCCAGCTGGTCAGTTGGCCAGTTAACCATCACAGCAGACACCTTCTCCATGCATGTCAGGAGGCAAAGGACAGCCTCAGTCACAGCTGAGGACTGGAGCTGACGACTGCGGTCCGGTTTCTGAGTGGAAGCCCTTGATCTGATTTTTTTGAACAGAGAAAAAAACCCCCAACAACACAAGAAAGAAGCTCATAAAAGAAAACGGGGGAAAAAAAAACACAATTAAAAGGTAAGAGCTTGTCAAACAGGATTTGTAAAGAAGAAAGACAATCGGATGTCCTAGCCGACAGAGGTTTGGCAGCTGCACCGATGCGGTCTAACTGTTCGATTTTCCACTAGAGCAGTGTCTCCAAACAAGTGCAGTCATGTATGATTTAAAGTCCCGGTCTCCCAGGAGCGCAAGATGGATTTCCTGGCTGTGGGTGCAGCTGTCATCTCCTCCACTGCTTAATAGAGACCTGATGATCGTTGCCGAGCAGGAGGTGTCTGGGTCTTGTTAGCATGGTCTAGCATGGTCATGTCGGAAAGCTCACCAGTTATACACTTCCAGAACTGGAATTAAGCTATCCTCCTAATACCTTTGGCTGAAAATCCCAGTAGTAAGATTTCAAACCGGGCGTTGTCAATGCAAAAGCTTTAGGATGTTATATGGCTGCCAGCTGAGCTTTTAAAAGTCATAAATACGGTACCTAGCAAATAACTTCAATCGGAGGTGAAAGGATACAAACCACTGGCCTGGGACACAATAATAATTTCTTGTGATGTGAAGGTTGCGAAACAGTCTTTTTAAAGTCGATCTTCTTACAAACTCTTTAATGTCTTCTGGGCAAGCGTTACAGAAGCCGTAGCCAATACTTGGATGGATTTAGCCAAAATCATCTTAGTAGTTGTGTAATTACCATGTAATTAATACTTTGGTTATTACTCATAACCACAATTAACTTAGTAAAGCCTGGAACAGGAGATTAAAGACTTCAGGCTTGTTCTTTGTGTACCTCTGGGATACCTACAGTAGTCTCAGAAAGATTTAAGTGGAATTCAGTGCAGGACTGCACTTTGTGACCTAGTTTATGGTATACGGGAAGGCATGAAGCCTTAACAGTATTTAAACTGTTATAAAATACTATAAATATTGTTACACATGTTATAAATATGTGAAATATTGCATAATAACATGTTGGATAACCATGAAGTGTAACGGTCTTCTCTAATTGGAAAATGTCTCCTGGAAAACAAATAAGAATAAGATCAGTCCCTTCACATGGATTCCTTTGCATCATTTGTATACCATCTACAAGATCTATGTGCACACTTCTTTCTCTCACTCAGTAATGTTTTCTCTTTGCAGCTTTCAGTTCTAGTTCATTTTTTAACACTTGCTTTCCTTACTTTTGCAGATCAGGACTTACTTGAAGACATAATGATTGACAGCTGCTTTTACCTGTCTCAATCAATTGTGAGTATGCAGATGAGCACTGCAGTACAAGCAGTCCGGTGGATGTTCTGCTTTTCGTGATCGTTTGAAACACGAGAAGGGTTATAATCGAGAGGAGGCTTTTTAGCCCATCCAGTGGGATGGATACTTTTAAGGCTTTTTTTTTCCCCCGTTTTGAAATCTGTATGACACCCTGTCTGTTGTTTTATTGTGCAAAGTATTTGCAATAGAACTACCTGCTCCAGCTGAGAAGCCTAATCAGGTTATACTACCAAGAAGTGAATGGAAGAAGCTCGTAAGCATTGCACCACAGCCTTTGGCACATTGCTTTGTTTCACTAGAGTGCAATTGCACTAAGGTGCAATACTGATATTCCACTCTTAATGTCAGCATCTTTTAATCTACTTTTGCCTTATTTTCAAAAGCTGTATATACTAGATTTGTCAGCTCTACTTCAGCTCACTTCATCGAAACAGGAACAAGGGAAGGAAACTGCATTCAACATACTATGATACCTTTACAGGACACAAAATAGAAGCATAATGTGTCCCAAGACGTGCAACATGTCTTTATGATGCATAATGCAACGGATTAATTTAGCATAATTTATCCCGCATTGGATTGTACCAACGGTTTCTTTAATGATAAGTCTCAGGCTGATATTTTAACAAGAAGCAGGTTCAGTGACATGAAAAAGACGTCTAATTGCAAACGGGTTTTCTATGTTATGGTACAAAACAACCTATTTTGTCAAACCCTGACTGCTTCCACTATTCTTGCACTTGCAGCAATATCAAATCTGCGATTTCCAGACATGACGAGCAACATTCAAATAATTATTTTCTAGGTTTCTTACCAAGTTTGAGGAATGACCTCTTTTTCTCATCTGCATTTAACTAAGGACTCATTTTTTTGTGGTGTACTCACCCTAAGCCTAATGCAAACAGACTAGCTTTGGTGTTATAAATTCTGTCAGGTCTGTGCTCATCAGGAAGAACCCCTTCTGCTGTTGAGTACTGTTGCTTTTCTTGCAGATCATTGTTATAGGTCATCTGTGGTCCTCAAAGATGCAAACTATGACCCCCGAGAAACTGCACAAGTAAACTAAAATGTCTACTTTGTTAATGATAGAGCTCCTCAAAACCCTTTGCCCATAACGTACAGTATATGTAATTAAAATAAAGGATGCTTGTGGGTTTGCATTTTCACATTAAGTGTGTGCTGGGTCCCTTGGGACAGTTACGAGCGTTATGTGTGTGTGGCCCTCCAAGTACCTTAGGTATCTTAGGTGTGAGCAGCTGTTTCGTTTCACAGTTCTGCCCTCCTTAAAGATGAGAAGAACATTAAATCCCGTAAACACTGGGAGGCAGAAACGCTCAGGGAAACACCTGGACTTCAAATGGCAGCTTTGTTCTCCCGGGTCTAAAGAAAGCTCGGGTACTTCATCACGCGATTCATAATCCGAGGCGGAAAACAATCGCTTATTTCAGTGCAGCAGAAGGAACTGAATTAAGTGCGTATTGTGTTCTGCTAAATGGCTAAATAACTGCTTCTTAAGTCTCCCCATTTACCCAGGGACACAAGAAAAATAACATCGTGATTTGCTCTGCACAGCTGGGCCCCTGGTGCAAACAGTTCCACACAGCAGCCAGTGGTATTCAGCTCCTTTGTTTATGACACCTCCCCACGCATTGGTTTTATTTCAGTCCATCTTGTAAAAGCGATCCTCTTTGCGTTTTCCAAAGTAATACGCTAGGTTCTTGTGAGGTGGATCTTGAACTGCATGCGAATGATTCGACGGCTGCTTCTGTAGAACGAGCTGTGAGTACGAACCCCGTGTTAACTTTGCAAGCACATTCATTGCACAGGGGTGAAGAATCCCTAGAGCAGAACTTCCCAGTCCAGGTCCTTCCTGTGCCCTCATGGTTAGCTGGGTTTTATTCCAGCTGAGCTCATCATTGTTGAATTGAACCTCAGTTGTATCTAATCATTTTCTATTTTGATGACGATGAGAATATTTTGAATATTATTATTATTATTAATAATTTGACATTTAATTAATACTATTTTAATGATAAAATCAAATGAATTCTGCTTTAGAAATATTTGCATTGTTTTAATCTTTGCCCATTGTAGATTGTAGCTGATAAAATATTGTTGTGTGCTTACCTGTAGGTCAAACGCACGTACAGTAAGATTGTGAGATCATGAGTCAGAGTATGAATGGGTGGGCAGGTGATCTTATTGTACCTCACCTTGCAGAGCTACAATCGCCGAGAGCAGATATTATAAAGTGTTAAAAAAGCGGAGGTCTTGGATGAAAAGTTTTCCCTAAATTTTGAGGTTGGCTTTTTCAGAAGATGGCCAGCAGTGTATGTGACCATGTTACAGTACATACGAAAGACAGACAGCAAGAAATAATACTGTGTAGCAGGAGGGATGAGACAATAAAACAAAAAAAACTATAAACAAATTACAGCTTTGTATAACCTACTCCCCCCGACTTGGTTCCTTCGTGACAAACTGAAACCTGTGAGGTACTGTGCACTGATGGACCTGTATTTTCAAATTTGTGCAACTATTAAAGTTTCCTTTGTCAGCCTGACAATCAGAATCAAAGGCTGTGTTTTCGGCATCAGTTAAGAGGGATGGTAATTTAGTTTATGAATGAAGTCCTATTCCCCTTGTGCCTTCTTCTGACTGCGTTAATGTTAGCGATGTAGGGGAGAAGATAGAATATAAGGTATGGGGCTTTCAGAGGTGCTTGCAATTAAAAAAAAAAATTAGTAATATTAGTCTTTGTATTTTATTTTATGTTTATAAGGATATTACATCAATATTTGCAGTTTAAGGTATTGTCTGTTTTGTTCTCCCTCTCCAAATGATTCCCTGCTGATTAAGAAGCCTCGTGACCTCACTGAGTATTCACTGCCCAGTGGGGGTGTGTTAGTATTAACTGGTATAACGTGCTTGTACTCAAGCCTGTGTCAGGACTGACTGCTATTTTTAATCAAATATCTCTCATAATGTATACAACCTCTACAATCGCTAACAGCCCCTTTTTAATTCGAACATTTGTGAGTAAATTGAAAACTCTTTTAGGAGCGGAATTTAATTTAAATAGGTTGTAATCAAGGGTACTAGTAAAGCTAAGTAAACAAAAGCTAGAAGAATCCTTACAAAACATTAGCATTTTAACAGTGCATTTGAGAATGAAAATATATACAACATTATATATTTAGATTCCCAGAAAGCTTTTGAAAAAGACCCTCGTAAAAGGTTGTCTTAAATTTAAAATTAATTGTAATATATGTAAACAAAATGAGAACCACTTATGAATAATGGTCTTGCAGCATTTATTTTCGTAAAAATATTCTATACTGTAATATATAGGTGAGGTTTAGTATTAAGAAGTGCCAGGTAGTGCTTAATTACTCTGCTGTATGCAGTCTGTAGCGAGCCCTCAGTGTGCTCACAGAACTGTGCAGCAGAGCAGGGTATTGCTTGGAACACAACAAGATTTGGCTCAGATCCTCTTCCCCACATCAGGAATTGTGTTTATTAAGGTGAAGCTGTGTTCTCTATCAGTCCTGCCCTACAGTTGCCGGTGGCGAGTGGAAATTATCCTGTGGCTGCCCAGAAATATTTTTGTTACTCGTGATGAACTGCAGCTTTCAAACCTGCGCACTGAGAAGGATATAAATCCAAAATCAGTTTATTTCATATTTGTTTGTGTACCTAGACCATCTGCTAGGTTATGGGCTGAGCCTTGCAGATAGAATCTCTGGGGGGAAAAATATTGTAATTTTTATGTATTATTATTATTGCTTCGGGCTGGTATGTGAAATATATGATTGATGCGTATATATATTTACTGTATCTATTGGAGAGATCAATTGGTTTAAAAATCAGAATGGAAAAATACAGTATTGCATTCAGAATGTGGTTCAGCAATATTGTTGAAGACGGAGGTGTGCTAATCAACCGTGAATGGGTGGCATGCACAGCAATAATGTGAAACACTGGGTTCGGAGCAAGATAGCATTTAATCCAGGAACTAAACTGGAATCAGCATATGTTTAAAATGATAACCATAATTGATTTTGCGCAGCGTATGTTTTTTTTCTTCAGAATGAATTAATGGCCCTCCACAAACATGAAACTAAACTGGCCTTTCCAGCATGTCCAATGCAACAACACTCTAGAAATAATCATAAATAAAATGAGATGTGAAAACAGTTTTGCTTGAGATGAAACTCATTAAGACATAATGTAAGGTAAAACAAGCCATGGGTGTGATTATCTGAGGCGTAGAAATGTCTTTAGATAATCCCATTAAGCCTACCGAACCTTTATAAACCTGTACGCTGCTCATAGTCAGTAGGTTTATGTTGGTGTTACTCTACATCCTTAAAGCATAACAATAAATTCAGATGCAATGAACTGCTCTTTAAAATTCATTTTGCTCCTTTATTGCACCAGGTGTTATAAAGTTCAGCCTTGAAGATATCCCGGTATCCAGTAAAGATCATAACTCTTGCAGGGGCGCAGCAAGAGTGCAGATAGCAGTTTTAATTTCTCTCCCAAAAGAAAAAATGAAAAGATCTTGGGGAGATAATCCTGAGAGGTGCAGGACCTGGCACAGCCCAGAATTAACGAGTTCGAATAAAAGAAGCAATAATGTATCTTCTCGTTTGAAAAATACAAAATTGGAAAAAATAGGGTTATTTGAGCTTGGTGAAGCAGTTCACTTTATGGTGGGAGACTAGGGATTTACAGTGAAAACAGTAAGGCTGTAAGGGGACACAGTGAAAGTCATGGAGACCCTTTATCTGCAGGAGCACACAGGGAAGAGGAAGATTATGTGTGCTTAGGGATGCTCAGTTCATCCTGGATCAGTGCTGGTCTTGGATCTCAGCTTGGTGACTTAGCAAGTTGCGCTGTTCTTGGCCTAGGATTATGTTGTTGCTGCACAAAGAAGATTCAAACTGAAAACATACAGTAGATGCAAGTCTGGTATATTTTGTCGAGGACCAAAGATGGATGATTGTGTAGTGAAAACTATATGGTGATTCTATAGCATTTAGAGACCTTGTATGATGGCTATGCCTGCATTTTGAAAGTACTATTTTTGTATTATGTTTTTTTTATTATTTTGATCCTCAAAGATAAATTGACTATGACATTTTCAGTTTATGATCCATTTTTTTTAGTTTTTGTTTTATTGCGTCAAGTAGTTTTAAATACAGTCAATAAAGTTGGAGTTCGAGTAAGGTTTGGTAACTGTATGGGAAAACTCCTCATGGACTTTCTGTTCCTCTTCCAGCCAGTCGCACATTGGCATTTGAGCCAGACTCTGTTCATTGCTTTAGAGGGTTTAGATTAAGTCAACCACCAGCCTAAAACATGCCATTTGCTTTCTACGGATTTATACAAGTGCAGAATGTGACATTCATACCCATAAAAAGAAGAAGCAGCTACCTATAATAATATCTTTTTCTGTTTTCTAGGCAATAAAAAGCCAAGGGAAGGTTAGGATCTATAGTTCGAAGCACAGAATTCAAGTTAATGTATGTCACGCTACAGTAGTACAATAGACTAATAAGACTTTCTAGTATTGTTCTGGAATCTATCCAGAAGAGAGCCTCCCAGTACCGTCTGAAAACGAAGTCTCTACGCCGACAGGCAAAAGCAGCTGAACACGTTTTAGCCTTGAACAGAGAAGACCGTGAGGCAACCTGCTTTGAGCTGATTTGAAATCCACGGAGGCACTGACAGCGTCACTCCAGTGGACTTCTTCAGAACGCGCAGGGAAGCCTGAAGCGGAGGGCACAAATGCTCAAGGGGAAGTGCACATGAAACTGGGAGCAGGCAGCTGTGGCTGGAAGGTTGCTGGTTACAATCCCGCGGCCAGCAGAGGAATCCTACTCTGTTGGGCTCCTGAGCAAGACCCTTAACCCCAACTGCTCCAGGGGCCCTGTACAATGGCTGACCCTGCGCTCTGACCCCAAGCTTCTCTCCCTGTCTGTGTGTCTCATGGAGAGCAAGCTGGGGTATGCGAAAAGACGAATCCCAAATGCAAGAAATTGTATATGGCCAATAAAGTGATCTTATCTTATCTTATCAAATGGCCGAATCAGATCTCCGAATCAGTGACTGAAACCCAGATGGGGCTATATGAGCCGAATGGCCTCCTTGCAAGCTTTGTTAGTTTAACCCCATATTAAAGAACGGTATCAGTGCTCTGGGCCAAGGTTTCACTGCAGTTAGACACCGCTGTCACACACCTACACAGATCATTGCAGAAAATGAAAATGGCTTTGTTCAATTAATGACTTCTACAAAATGTAAAGAAAGCACTAATCAGACACCGCGGTTCCATGTCATTACCTTTACAGATGAGTGATAGCGATCTGTTGTGATTATACCATCTGCTAATAATGTGATCACTGTCTTCTGGTGTGTACACCAAGGAAGAATAATTAAACTCATCCTATAATTAATATATCCCTCCTGAGTTTAATTAGGAAACTGTCTCGGATATTAAAACAAAAATTCATCATAGATAAAGTCCTTATTATGGCGTTCTGTAATTCATGTTGTACTCGGTAATAGTCTAAGAGGTAATAGATATTTATTAAAGTAGTATTTCAACAGTTTTGTTAATAATAATATTGGACTATGATCAAATATCTACAGTATGAAGAGGTGATTGGATTCTGCCTGTTTACATACAAATATGCTAATTATAAAGTGCTACCTACAGTTGTATATTTATCAGTAATGTTGTGTGAGAATACGTCAGGAAAGTAATGGGGTTTTAATGTTAATTGATTTGTGTAAAAAAGTAAAGGGAATATAACGTACTTTCATAATGCGAGACGAAGACCATACAAATGACAAGAAGAAAGCTTATGAAGTTCTCAGAATTACTGGGTCTTTGTAAATGTATTAGTTTGAAGAAGAATTCCCATTTTAAAACAGTGTTTCATCTACTGTGAGAATTTAAGATAAAGCTTATCCACAGTAGATCAACATTGCACAAAAATGAGCTGTATCGTCTCTCGCACCCAGATAAAATAAATGAAACTGGAGGAATCCAAAACAGCTGAAGTATGGTTTTGATAGATGATTTTTGTCTATGCTTATATCTTCAGAAACAATAAAAGAACCCATAATTATATGATCCCCCCAGAAATACCCTATGCTTATTCTTGTGCATCTGTAGATAGATAGATAATACTTTATTAATCCCGTAGGGAAATTGATGATAATACTTTAGTGTACTGTAGTGCTAGTGCTTAGTACATTTTCCTAGGAGCTGGGCCTCAAATGTCCATTAGTCTTAGGACACATTTTTATAAATACTCAGTATCTGATGTGTTGACTGCTTAAATATTCTTCACATCAGTTCAACAGGAGTGGCATCTTCAGGTTGCAGCATGGAAATCCATTTAGTCATTTAAGGTTTGGCCTCATCTTTGATGGACAAACTCTTGAATGATGGAAACAGGAGGGTAAAGGGATGAGAGGGTTTTTTCATGTGGAAAAGAGTGGACACTGCCCATTTTCAATCCCTGTGGCATCTGAATCTGGTCAGCCACGTACAGTAGCTGGGCTGTAAAGATATTCCGCACATGTACAGTACGCACGTGACTTATACTTGTGCCACTCTCTTTTCCAGCCTGACGACCTGACCAGCCTGGTGGTGGTCATGCTGTACGACTTCCAGGATCGCAAATTCCTGCCGCGAGCATGCCCCGAGGAAGAGGAGATTGAGGAAGTGAGAGACGTGGAAAAGTGTCTTCTGAGGTCAGTTTCCACTGCCAACCTTTTCCACACGATCCGTTTCCCAGAACTGCGATTTCTATCCCATCCTGTCCATGTGGTGATGACAGCACTGGCACATAATGCGACCTCAGTCCAGTAAAAACAAACGGCTTGCATAATCCCTGATAGAAAATCAGCACCGTTCAGCTCAAAATACAATTTGTGATATTGGAAGTGGAATTTACTCCAGTAAATGTCTCCCTGCACAGAACCTTCACAGAATCAATTTTCTACCTCCAATGCAATTGAATGAGTATGAAACTGAGGAATGCTGACTAGTCTAAAAAAAAATCAATCATTTTTTATATCGTTAATATTTGGAAATTTGATTTTGTGGTAGATTCATGGGGTAAGCCTCAACCGTTTTGTATTGTACAAATAACAAAGAAACAATATTAGAGAATATAACCAACAAAACATTGAGCCCATATACTGGAATTTTGGAGACACGTGCGACACTTGCTGTATATGGAAAACTGAACGCTTGGTAAACAAGACTGTGGTTTTGCAGAGTCAATAAACTATTTGTGGAGGAAAACTCATTCCATTTCTGTAGAAGTGCCTTTGTAGTGAATCCCACTGTGCACTGCTGCGTCCTGGAGAAAGTGCTCCGTGGGGTTCGTTATTGTTACGTGTGTTTCTCAAAGTCATTTTTCTTTCGTTTGCGATTCCCTTTCTGCACAGATACAGGACTAAACTTGCTGCTGCCCTGGCTCGATGTCGAATTAAACACAATCTTCTGACCATTGACTACATTCTACCAGAGTCTGTGCGAAAAAAGCAAGAGAGAGCCAGCACTCTCCCCCTGTATGCCTGGGTAAACACAATGAAAACCAGGTAATTTATTTTTATTTAGCATTACGTGATATAAGGCTACATTTATTACTCCACACCTTGGTATTCAGTCATTTTACTCTGAACTCACAACATTTATGGGTATTTCTCATCATTTCTGGAGATCCGTTCTTCAAGAAACGGCTCTGATCCGTTTAGTGCTAATTGCCAAGCAGGCCATAGCCCCCTCTCGTTTGTGCCTGTTTTCTAATCGCATTGAATTCCTTAATTTCATGAGTTTAATCCCGTGCCCAAGTCCATCAGAAAATTCAATAAAATATAAGTTGAGTCTTGAGCAGCAGTGCTTTTGAGAGAAACGAGCATGAATGTGCACCTCTCGTCTCACTGTCACCCTCGCTCCTCAGACACTTTCATGCAGTGCATGCAGAAACGTCATGACTGCTATGAAAGAGTGATGAAATAATCGACACCAAGAAACCTACAGACACTTTGGGTTCTGAGGATCAAGAGGGCGATTTTAATAAAGCGATCACGATGCATATAAAATGCAAATTTTCCTGTATCATTGATGTGAAAAGCCGTGCCACAGCTCTGAAGGAGGTGTGCCTTAGTCCTGTATCGTATGCATTAAATAATGTTATTCAGGTCGGTTCAAGCTGTGGGTGAGTTTTGGTGCAGGTTAAAGTAATTTTTCAGTAATGATGTTTTCTGCATTCATTGACCTACAGTACATAAAGGCATGCCCCACTGCGGCGTCCTCATTCCTGGCAGCCATACGTAGCATGTTAAATGGGAGCTCATTTGGTCTTTTGCATAATATCGCTAAAAACATTTTTTTGTTTCTGTATTTGTAACTTACAGCAATTCGAATTTGGACCACTGTTTTAAACCCACAGTGTCAAAGCATCTCATTAACTAAAGTAAATGGAGTTTTCACATTACAACGCACAGTGCTCTTATTATTTATCAGTTCTCTTTTTTTCTCGTTTTTTAATGGACTGTTTAAGGTAACTGTAACAGATCAGACTAGAAAATTGGGAACACAACCAAGAGATGAGGCGGAACGGTTAATTAGTCGAAACAGCATTGGCGTTTTCACAAGGCGATTAAGGAAGCAGCACTGAAGCACTGATGTTGAATGCAGGTGGCCAGGTGGTCGGGGAAACAAACTCATCCTAGCAAACACAGACGGATCACCATGAGGTAAATTAGAGAAAGAAAGGACATCGAGGCAAAACCCAGAGAAGAAATGCATTCACCTTACAGTACGCAAGTCGGAAACAGCCCTTAGCCACTGTGTGAATGCATACAGATAATTACCACTGGTGATATTTGCCCTTGCTGTGTAGGGGAGAGAGGAAGGAGGGACAGGAGAGCAGAACTGTAGGCTCTCTGGGGTTTATTCTCCTTTAATGGTTAACGGGTATCAGAGGGCAAGAGAGAGAATGTAGTAGATGCAGCGAGAGAGCTAGAGAGAAAAGGATTGGAAAATTACCTTGTTTAAATAGGGGGAGAATAATGAAATCCCAATGAATTAAAAACGTTTTTAAACCCTGTAATTAGAATAATGAAATACCAAATATAGCGTACACTTAAAAGTGCTGAGTACCGTAAACAAATGAGAATGAGCTTTTAGCCAAAATTGTACTGTTCATTACCTTGGATTGTGCGTTTCTGTAATTAAATAGGAAATAAAGCACACAGTAAATAGTACAAATAATAACATCACTTGGGTGCTTCCCTGAAGTGATTCCAATATGCGTTACTCACATAATTCACTGACAGAGTGAGATAATATGCAGACGTTATCACACTGACTTGAAGGAGGAGCGCGGTTTAAGTATAAAAGAGAGCATTAAGCTCCGCACTGTTCACCACACTACCTGCTCTTTATGCAGGTGATGTGAACTCTCCTTATCTAGAAAATAATATTATGGGGCCAATGGGAGCTTTCTAAGAAGTCAAACTTGCACAAATTGAATCTTGTGTAAATTGGGGAGAGGGCGTACTTAAAAATAACCTAACATAGCCTGCCACCAGTCCTCAAAGAGGCTAGCTGATCACACAACAGACTTTGTAATAATTTCTAACCAAACATAAAGCAAGTTATCTACCACATGCAGGCATTTTGCTTTCCAGTTAGTATCTTGTACATTCATTGTGTTGGTTATTTTTACTCACAGTCTTACCTGAGTCTGAGGCCATTTTCACCTGCTTGGTCCTCTGGGGATCATCAATCAGATCTGAGAATTATTTTTCTAAAGTACCTCTTGACGCTTTGGCAGGTGTGTGTGTTGCTGGGATCTCAGTGCTGTGAACAAGTTTAAATTAAGAAAGGAGTTCGCTCTCTGATCTCTGATCTGTCAAGAACAGCGTGTTTTATGCTCACTGCAGACATTAATTCTGTTAAGCCCCAGTCATTTATGTATGTTGGCTACAAAATAAATGTTTTTACAGAGCTTGAGTCAGCAGGATTCGGATGACAGGAAAGGCCTTGTTTTTTATGTGCTTTGCAGGGGGCATTCTTAGCTACAGTAGCAAGCTTATTAACTAACCCCAACTGACGCAAGTTAATGGCCTTCAGGACTTGGGATCAACAACTAGATATTAATGTTGAAAAAGAGAAACATTAGAAATCACATTCCCGAGCGAGAGCAGCAGATCCAGTTGTCCTTCAGGGCCATGTTTTCGTCCTTTTAAGGAGTGATGCGAAACTCATGAAATGTGAGATCCATTTCAGTCAGGGCTGTATGGGCTCTGCCGTTATTGAAAATCTGTCAGATGTTATCCAGTCCAGTGTCATAAACGGTAAGGTCATTACTTTCACACAGGTTTGAGCCTAGGATTTACAGTAAGTGCTCTGTGTCTTGTGTACCTGGTATTTGCTGCACTCTAGACAATGTCATTTGTGTTGTGCCGCTGAGCGTGTTTCTCTCCAGCCATTACTTCTCAAGTCTGAGGAGAAAGTGCTTTCACGGCTCTCTGGAGTTCATGGCAACAACTGGGTCCTACTGTATTTACCTACTATCTCTTGTCCAGAAAGAGTATGTGGGGGCTGAGAGCACTTAATAAAATGCTTTTCGGAATATTGAAATTTTGATTCCATTGGAACAAAAATGAACACTATAATGTTCAAGGCTTTTTAGTCCGTGGCAAATTTGTCTTATTTTGTATGTGCCTCTGAGTAACTGCAGTTAAGTTGCAGTTCATTTTTCTTTTAATTTGGAATCGCCAATTACTTTATTATATAACCACCTAATTTGGAGTCTGCTCGTTCTTTCCATTTTGAATCACAGCAACACTTCCTGTGGGGAAGAAAGAACAGTGCTCCTCCAAGCTGCTACGGAGCTCTCAACACGTCACAGGCCCTGAGCCCACTGGAAGAGTAGTTAATATCACCACCCGCCTGCTGGCATCTGGGAAACTGTAGGAGTCGGCCTGGCACTGACCCCAACTGCGCTTAGCCATTCCTTTTCTGCTGCTAGGGGAATCCCAGTCACAGTCGGCTAGTGACATGACTCAGAACATGCGTTTTAGCCAACTTTACTGGAGCACGTTAGGTTTCTCACATAGTGAGTAATAGTCCCATTAGATTTCTTCTGTGGAAACGTGGAGTCATTAGTAGCTTAATTTCAGTGTTTTCAAATACAAGTTTCCATCACTTTTTATAGTACAGTGAATCACAGATACAGGTCATCAGCGATTAAGCAGTCCTGCAGATTTTTAAATATTCCTTATGAGAATTGATTTTGTAATACAGTTTCTCATTAGTGTAATGGTTAAATTGTACAAATGCAATCGATTTTTATCAAACGATCCAACGGTTTTTAATTAATGTGGATATTGGAGGACAAGTTTAGTTGTTGTGGCACAGAAGCCAAAAAAGTCTTCTGTGGGCCAGCTGGGTGAAGAAAAGGCATTTGTCTCTCGAAGAAAAAAACCAAAACAAAATGAAACGTAAAAGCTTTTCAAAAAGCTAGTTCTGTCTCCTGATCTACAGCATGATCAGGAGATCAAGACCGACTAAGAATTCACTGGCACAGAACACTGATGAATGAACGCACACGACTGAAGAAAGAATGCTTTGTTCATGTATCATTGTGCATATAATTAATTTAGACAGCAAAACCTGGCTTTTATAGATAACACAGAAGATCAAAGGAAATAAAACAGCCACTATAATACTGTAATAAATGTCTGATGTGCATGCTTTGGTGCTCTTCTCTTTGTTTTTTAACATATCTGCTGAAAGAGAAAAATCACATCGGAAATTTATTTGAAAACATTACCACAATGCCATTTAATAATTGATGGACACATTAATTCATTTTCTTGCGTGTTTTGCAATTCGTGTTCCCAATCTTAATATTTATCATGTGGTCTGCCTGTTCTGTGAGCCAGGGCATATCAAATATATAGGAACAGATCTTGTTTTCTTGTAATTAGGTACAGATTCTCTTGAGGACATTGACAATATTAGGGTGTTTTTGTAAGCTGCAGAGGAACTGTTCTATTGTTTACAAATGTCTTTGTAAATTCTTTTTTTTTTCTTTTCTTGAATTGGGGAAGGTTACAGAATGAAACTGTCTTTCACCTGGAAAGAAATAAGAGATTTAACTTGTGTGATTTATATTACCAGCCTTGAAGATGTGTGCTGCACCTTGGAGAAAGAGGGATTTTCTGAGGTGAAATCAATCTCCCAGCTCGGAGGATTAACTTTCTGCCTGGACCCTCACTGTCAGGATTTGTTAGTTTTTCCTCCACACCTCAAAGCTGACCTTTACAGGACAAAGCTCTTAACGGAGTACAAGCTCATTATTCAGGTAGGTTTTGCCACCGCACTGTGCTTTTCATTAATGCCTGGAATGTCATTAAAGACTGGAATTAGGCGGAAAGGTTGTTCAGTTTGTGTGGCAATTCCAAACCCTTAGCACCATTTGTGAGTAAAGTTGATATGCCAGCAGCCATATCACCCTGCAACTTGCGACTGGCAGCCCACTGAAGCTCAGCAGGTGTGAGCCTGGTCAGTACCTGGATGGGAGACCTCCTGGGAAAAACTAAGGTTGCTGCTGGAAGAGGTGTTAGTGGGGCCAGCAGGGGGCGCTCATGCGGTCCATGTGGGTCCTAATTCCCCAGTATAGTGAAGGGGACACTATACTGTGAACAGGCGCTGTCCTTTGGATGAGACGTAAAACCGAGGTCCTGACTCTCTGTGGTCATTAAAAATCCCAGGGCGTTTCTCAAAAAGAGTAGGGGTGTAAACCTGTTGTCCTGGCCAAATTTCCCATTTGCCCTTATCAATCATGGCCTCCTAATAATGCCCATCTATGAATTGGCTATATTACTCTGCTCTCCTCCCCACTGATAGCTGGTGTGTGGTGAGCGTTCTGGCGCACTATGGCTGCCGTCGCATCATCCAGGTGGGGCTGCACATTGGTGGTGGTGGAGAGGAGACCCCATTACCTGTAAAGCACTTTGAGTGGAGTGTCCAGAAAAACACTATATAAGTGTAAGCAATTATTATTATTATTATTATTATTATTATTATTATTATTAAAGTTGTAGTCTATGCACACAAGACAAGACAGTTTTAGAAAACTTTCATCCGGGAGTTTTAATTGCTTTATTTTTCTTAAAGCACAAGTGCGTTTAGCCACTTGGCATTTATTGGCACACAGATGTTTTATGAATTCTGTCTCAGTGAGTGCAAAGCTCTTTAAAAGCTGTGTGAAATTGTTAAATTGAGGATTAAACATCTAAAAGCCGGGTACATTTTACTGCTTTGGCTTAGACAAACTCGGGTGAATTTAATGGCATATTATCGCCAGCCTCGTTCCTCTGTGCTTTGACGTCCACCTTCAGGATTAAATGCTAAATATGTTTTTGTCTGCAGTTTGTGAAAGTTAACACAGTCTGGGTTATCTCTTTTCACGTGTACTGGCTGGCTATGTGATAGATACTGTATGTGGTACACAGTTCTATTATTGTATCATGTCCTATTTATTGTCACAGTGGTTTCACTCGATAGTATTGCTGACATCAAAGTAGTCTTTACTAGATATTCTCCTCTCCTGTGATTCTTTAATTGTTGACATCCAGAAAAGTATTCAAACTTCTTGAATTTCATCCACACTCCGCAGGTAGAGTGAGCAGAGGTGCCAAATATCAATTCTGTTGACTCAGAAGCAATCTGAAACACCATAAACTGTACCTGTGCCTTTCTGTACTGTATATAGTTCTGTATTTTAATTCCCCCTCCTTCTGTCTGATCCAGCAGCTTTGCCTCCTTATTCTCCAACATCTGCAATCACTTCAACACCTCATCACCTCCCTCACTCGCCCTGCTGTTTTAAAGAAATTCCTGTGCATTTTATCTAAGATATCAATGTCTTGTAAGGGCTTTTGTTATCTTGCCTTAAAACACATGACCTGTTTTGATGACATCTTACAGAAGCAGGCATTCCTGCTGATGGGAAAACTTCAAGCAACTTTATTTTTTATACATAAGAAAACATCAGGGAAATGAGCAAATCTCCAAATACAAATTCTCCTCTCTTTTTGAATGTGTAGGATAAGTCCCGCAGTCTGGCTGCTCACTCTGTGAAGGCCTTGCTGACCGACGACGACGATGTCATCATGGCGAACCTGACCTCTGGCTACACCATTGCCCACATGGCAGCTCTGAGCACGCTGAGCACGGGCAGAGTGTGGGTGTGTGGAGTGAGCCAGGCCAGAGAAGAGCTGCAGGAGATCCTCTCACACATGGAGTGCAAGAGTATGAGCCTACAGCTACTACCATTAAAGGGGAACTGCCACTGTTTTTATATTTGGGGGTTAGAAAGAGTCAGCTTTGAGGAGTGCATTTCAAACCACGGTAAACCTGTTCCAGTTTACATCACAAAACAGGCACAAGTTCCAGGTCTGCGCAGCGCCATATTCTGCGATTTGAAGGAGGGATCAAAACTTCTGGTGAAGCGAAGTGGCCCTGTTACATTGTAAAGAAGCAATAGAATTGTAAAGAATTTTTTAATCCAATAGAAATATTGCTCTTGACTTCAAGACGGTTTTGATATTAAATGACACTTATTAACTCTGCATGCAGATCGCTTTGGAAACTTTCTGCATGTCCGCTGCACAACCTGTGTTTAATTCGCTTGCATATTACATTACATTAGTCATGACGTGACTAGTGAGCAGGAAGGGCCGCTTCATGTCACAGTTTGCGCAAACTCTTGCTCTGGCGAGACCAGCGGGTTTTGACGACAATGGCAACTTTATAGTCCCTTCACAAATGTTTTTCGATTTGTGTGCCTAATGCGTGATTTGTAAAAGTTTTCAGTACCATCAATGATGTTATTTTGTCACTGAGATTTAATAACCGGTCTGAGAAATTGGGACTGCAGTTCCCCCTTTAAATCCTCTTTATCCAGTTATCGCAACCTTGAAAATGAAGAGCCTGTAGAAAGTGGAGTAAATCGACGCACTGCTTTCCCAGGGTGCCCCGGCAGTTGAGCAGTTATAAATAAGTTACCTCATAGCTTTGCCTGAATTTTATTCAGTTCTGAGTTTTAATACAGGATTTATACACTCTAAATATATTTTTGCTGTTCACTCATACTTTACTGATTAGTGTGAGTTCTATTTTGCAAACTATTTTATCCTTTAAAACGGAGACGTGATGTACAGTATACAGTGCTTAGAGGCAGGTTCCACACAATTTGCAATTTGACTTACAATTCTCTTTCTCATTCTCCAGTTTATCAATTTTTCTACAACTGGGTGAGTCAACCACCTGGGAGACGGTACTGTGTGTGGCAAAATAATTAGCACCAGTCATTGGAATCACTGAGGCAGACTGATTCTCTTTCTTTTTCTCTCAATCTCCTTCACAGATGTAAAGCTTCTCCCTGAGAGTTTTACAGATATCGAGCCCACAGACCCACGGCTACAGAAGGCTAAAGTCATCCTGGTGATGCCTCAGTGCTCAGCGACAGGTGTTAGCAACCCAGTGGAGTTCATCTTGAATGACAGCGGAGGTAAAGCACGCAGAACGTTTTATTTGGAATCACATTCACTCTCCTTTCCTGCAGTGTTCTGGCAGGCTCGCGTTGACAGACTGTGCTTAATGTGTCTAGATGCTGGACTGCTGCAGGACCTGTGTCAGGGGTCCATATCTGAAGATAAGCTGAACACCCTGGTCAGGCAGCAGCTTCAGGACCTCATACACGCTGTGAAGTGTAAGTCCAGGGGATGTCGTTTCTCTTGATGGGGGGGAAGAAAGAGCAAGAAGAAAAAATAGCAGCTGTTGTATGTCAAACACAACAAAAACGTTATGCTGCAGGCCAAACAGTTCTGCTTCCAAAAGATAGATCATCTCTCTTTATTCTACACAGCGAAAAATAAGCTAAAACAAGAAACTTTTTTATCTGTTCTTTCTTTTTTCCCTTTGTGCCTCGTTCATGTGGCAGTGTGGGATTTTGCAGTCAGTCGCTCTGACAGCAATGGTGGTATTCTTTGTGAATTCAACAGTGAACAGCCCCTTTTAACTTTTAACTTTTTAACCTCGTTTTTAAATTTAGCCCTTAGCCCTTTTCATTTAGCAGCCCAGGCTTTTGAACTGGGAAGTCACTCAGGCAACCAAAGGTATGAATCTGGTTGCTTCTTTTTCTTGGAAACGTGTCGTTGCAAAGCTGTGGCGTCTTCACAGGAGGCCGTGTCAGAAGAGAAGTGCCTCCACTTTGCTTTTCTCCTATCACAAAAGATTTCCCCTCAAACCATGAAGTCTTCTAGGTCACCTGGAAAGTTCCAGATGAGGGCGATCTAATGAGGGGGTTCTTTTGCATTCTACTGTATAGTTCAATATTAGTTACAATTAGGCTGTCCCAATGCAGAAATTGTATCGGAACACTGACCTTTAAATCTGCATTCCCTTACATGATTTGTAAGATTACATAATAACGGCTATAGCGTCATTTGATTTGAACATTTTCCTCTCTTGCTACTTTGTGTAGCACTGTATTCTTTTCAGAAGATTTTGAATTCAAGGTATACATGCTGTTCAAATGCAGTAATGAAAAATGTGTTTTAGTGAAAGGTAATGAATTGTTAATATTTGACTTGAAATAGCATTAAGGTTGTAAGTCACATGGGGGATTTAAGAAAAGTGCATTAGGATTTGTATATTAGGCTTTTTAGTGTGCTGTATTTTGCCTAGTTAAAGGCACAGTCCAACATTGACCCATCCAAAACAAAAATTAAACATAACACCATGGGAACACTCTTTCTATTCTATCTGTCATGAACAGATTTCAGGGAAACTCTAACCCTATCCTTATTCCAGGCTTAAACCACCATTTAAAATGTGCCCTTCAACTGTGTTCAAGATTAATTCAATGATTTTTACAAAGTACAAGGAAACGCAGAATGTTTACCAATGCCAATGAAGTGACTTTAATCGGTTTCCAAAGTGCTGTAGCTTTGTAATAGTTTGCCAGGATACAGTGTGTATCAACTGCAACATTCAAATAAAAAAAAACAGCTAGAGGAGAAACGCCATAACTCGTTTCAGGTGTACATACTGCACACAAAGTAGATTCGGTCCATGCTTTCAGCTGCTGTTCTGAAGATGTATTAAAAATGACTGTTTCTGAATTGTAACATTAGTGTTTTGCGCCGTCTGTTCTGCTGCGGATTGCAATGAACGGGCCGTGTTAAGGGAATGGTATTTTCCACCCTTTTGAGATTCCGAACACGGTGCTCGCCTTCAAACCTTCAGTTGTTATTGTATCGTTTCCCTCTGAATGCAGTGTAGTAGAGCTGGTGAGTGAATTCATAGAGAGCTTGAGTGCCACTTTGCAATGAGAGGAAAAGCGGATTCTGCTGTTTTACTGGCAGCCGGCACGTCAGTGGCTGTGTACTCCATTCTCTGCAGGCGTTGCCCTTTTGTGCTCGCGAAAGTAAGTTTTTACGCAACCATCTCCAGGCGCAGATAAGGGGAAAATAAGTACTCATGCAAGCCTGTTATGTGATACTCGTTCAAATAATTATTGTACTTGCTATACCAATTACACATATATGTAGATATTATAGAAAATGATTCACAAGTTGAATTATTGCAGAAGGTTGTGTTTTTTTTTTTAAAGCCTTATGCTTCAGGGTTCCAATCCGATTTTCACAGCACATGAGCACTGTATGCACAAATGTCTGGGATTCATTAACAGTCATGCTGCATCAGTGTATTTACACTGTCTGCTATTTACTTGATTCCAGAATTACAGGTGTGATGTCTAACAGTGATTTACAAAGTGTCCTGATCTGTTACTTGCAGTGACAGTAACTGACAGAAAGATGTGGCCGCTGTCTGGAAGGTATATTTGGACTGATTAGGTCCTTGATCTTCAGAGTCTGAGGAAGGAAGTACGAGGGTAGACTGTTTCACAGGGATCAAAGCTGATATTCAGCTATTACGTTGCCGAGGATGCTGACTACTGATAGAATACAGTAAATTTGGGTGAAAAAACTTTAGCTTTCATGTGACTCGGAGTCAGTCAGTAATTTGCCAGGTAAAATTTGTTGTGCTTATCATATTTTTTCTTAATTTTGAGTCATCTGAAACCTAGACTTTTTACGAACATTGCTACTGTAGGTCACAGATTCAATATCCAATGTTCAGAATAATTATTGCTTTTAATAGTGCAGACATAATGGTTGTTTTTGGGAATAGGAACTGGAAACCGCCTTCAGATAAGATTGCACATTTTTTAATAGTGCTTAATTAACACACTATCCTTCTAATGTGGTAAAAAAATAAGAGTTTTTTTTATTCCATTACTGTCGCATAATAAATTCTCAAAAATCTTCTGTGATGTCATATCTGAATGTAGATCCACCCAAACCTTTAAATCAAACAAGCTCAAGAGATTTAAATTACAAGTTTATAGTTCGCCAGTGAAAGTGCTGTACTACTTTTTTCTGCGTTTATATCTCTCAAGTTTCCTGGAGAAACACAGAAGCATCTTTGTCATTATAAGCCACATACAATGCAGCTGTCCTTATAGTAGAAGTTCATTTTTTGTTTTAGATTTTTGCTTGACCTCAGTATTTCATGGCGACACCTTTACTGTGCACATCTCTGAATAGCCTCGGTGTACCAACAGTTAGAATTGTGAGATAAGACCACATGAAAACAATCTAAACGATACACTCCCAAAGTGCAGGCCGTTAATCATGGTGCACAAAATTACTTTCTTGCTCTGACGTGTGTGCACGGAGGGTGTTTCATTTGATCTTGTCTGTGCTGGTGATGGATGGCCCGTGTGTGGTATGCAGGCTGTTTTGTGAAATCGCAGAGGAAGTGGGGTCAGTGGTTTCAGGAAGTAAAAAGTAACCATCCCTAGACACGATTTGATGCAGCCTTGTACAGTAACTGACTGCTCGATCAATGGAATTATTTTGTTAAAGTTTGCCGGTAAACCTTTTGATGATTCCTTCTGTTTTACTCTCGGACCTTGTAGCCCTGCAGTAGCTCTCTAACATGTATAGTCAGTTTCCTGCACTGCATTGTGTGCAGTTAGTGAAGTTAACTTCGTCATCTCAGTGCGCAGCCACAGGTGTGAATTGCTATGGTCATGCCCTGAGTCACGTGGCGGGGAACTCACAAGTTCTTGTCTTGGTCACACCAAGCTTTGGATATTTCTTTCCGATTCCATAGCAGGAGCAACATTTAACTTGCAGGCTGCTAGAAATTCCAGGTCTGTGGCAAAGTGGTATTCACAGTGCTAGTTATCAGAAATTCCTCTATTCTGCATCAAGCGTGTTGGTATTTTAGTCCCATGTGACTCAGGAAAGCTTCACTAATTTTATGAACCACAGGTTATAAAGCTGCAACAAACTCTGCAGGCTGCAGTATTCGGAGAAGAAACAGAATCACGGACATACATGACTGAGACTTTTCATCACCCGTTGTGCACTGAGACTTGAAAGCTCCACAGTCATTAGAAAAACCACAAAGCTGATGCTATTCTTCATTTTCTGGCCCTAAATTCTGAATTAAGAAACTGACCTCTAAAGTGTGGTCAGGCCTGCTCTATGAGAAATGTTAGTTTAGATAAATAAATGTCAGTATCTTTTTGGCAGCTTGGCTTAAGCAGAAGCCTGTTAGGGGAATAAAAACCTCCTGCCTGTCATGTGCAATATGTAGCTACTCCACCAGCAAGGTACCAGGAGATTTAGTTTAAAAAATGCAAGTCACTTTTTATCTGACTACACACATATGATTCTGTGTTGTGCTTTTAAGGGTTTATAAATAGAAAAGCCCTCCTGTGCTGTACAGCTCTGGGAGTGCATGGCCACACTGAAGACTACGAACCTCCTGGTCTCGTCAGGACATCATCAGAGTAGCCAGAATTGTTTTACATTTCTTAGGCAGTTGCAGGCCTAAAACTGTTTTGCCTTATTCTTTCTAAGCAAGCAAGTATTCATACTGTAGGAGTCTTGGGCACCTTACAAATAACCTGATACTGTACATGATCTAAATCATAGTGGTATTAGACAAGAGTCACCTCTCGTTTGTGAATTCATAGCCTTTAAATAAAGATAAATTACATAAAATTCTCATCGTTCTTTCACACTTCGTCTGTTTTAACAAAAGTTTTGTTCATTCTGGTGATGTTGATGTTTTTTTTTAAATAGACACATGTTCTTAGACTTATCTGTCATTTCAATGACATATCTTTCAGTTGAGTCTGAGCTCAGTGGAAAACTTGACTGTAATGAAGTTATACATGATTTTTCCACCCTCAAAATGCTGAAAAAAATGGTCGCTTGTAATGCAAAGATCTTAGAAAGTAAAGATTTTTAATTTTTGTTGTTTTGTGCTACATAATGTGATAGCATGACATAAATGGTAAGAAGTAGACATAGTGTATTGCAGTCTACTGTATGATTTGCTTTATCATGGATGTTATTAACATGGAATGAAGTTTACATACTAATGCATTTGAATGTATTTATGTTGTTAGTGGGGTATACAGATGCTAAAACGTTTCCCTTAGTTGTTATATAGAGTTGGTCACACTAAACCACTAAAGATAGACAAAATCAAATATTTGGTATGGGAGCACACAAGTGCGAATAGCTAAAACGTATGAGTTTACTGTCTATAGCTTCTGGTACCAACAAGCAGCAATGCAAAGCGCTGGATCCTGGATGCAAATGACTGGAACTTCTTAGTCATATT